CAACTCACGCATTGGCTAGCTAGCTAAACAGCTAGCTAGCTAGCTAGCTAGACAGCCAGCTAGCTAGCTAGCTAGCTAGACAGCTAGCTAGCTAGCTAGCTAGCTGGCTACCTAGACAGCTAGCTAGCTAAACAGCTACTCAGCATGATACCTGACTAGCCAGCACTGCCATCCAGCTCAGCAACTGGCTAGCTGTAGCGCCAAGACAGCTAGCTAGCTAAGCTGCGGGTTAGCTAGCTAGCTAGCTAGCTAGCTAGCTAGCTAGCTAGCAGGCAAACCCTAAACCCTAATTAAGGGTTTACAAATCATCAAAGAAGTCCTTGCCCGCGCGCAAGTCGTGTTGAAGCTGCTGCGACTGCAAAGAAAATACAAAACACTCAGCAGCAGCAATCGCCGAGGGTTTAGGGTTTAGGGTTTAGGGTTTATCTCGAGGGTTCAGGGTTTAGGGTTTAGGGTTTAGGGTTTACTTTTTTCAAGCGCCTGACGACCTTGGTCTTCATCCCCTCCACCTTCTGCGCGTCGTGGATACGAATGCGGTTGTCGTGGGCAAGTGAAGCTGCACCAAACCCTAAACCCTAAACCCTCATCCTAAACCCTAAACCCTAACCCTAAACCCTGAACTCTGAACCCTAATCCTAAACCCTAAACCATAAGCCTAAACCCTAATCCTAAACCCTAATCCTAAACCCTGAACCCTAATCCTAAACCCTAATCCTAAACCCTAGGCCCCGATAGCATATGTATACACCAAGGCATCAACCGCTTACAAACCCTAAACCCTAAACCCACCTGCAGACCCTATTGAACCCAAACCCTAAACCCTAAACCCTAAACCCTAAACCCTCGAAACGAACCTAGGAGGGTTTTGTTGCAGTTCAGAGACAGCCGCTCAACCGGCCCGTCCCGCCGGCCGTGCCCCGCCAGGATCCCTGCAGAGCAAACCCTAAACCCTAAACCCTAAACCCTAAACCCTAGACTCTAAACCCTTAACATTAGACCATAAACTCTCAACGCTAAGCCCGGACCCCAAACGTGGTATACAACCCTTAAACCCTAAACCCCTCCACCCAACCAGAACCCTAAACCCTAAACCCTAAACCCTAAACCCTAATCCTCACCTGCAATTCTGTTGGGGTGTAGCTGCACTACGCGGATGCATCCATCGCCGCAGCCCGCGAGGAGAGTATCTTCGTCAAACTTTGCCTAAACAACAAAACCCTAAACCCTAAACCCTAAACCCTAGCCATCCGTGCTCAGCACTCGCGACCCTAAATCATTTCTATAAACCAATGAAGCTAAACCCTAAACCCTAAACCCTTTCCTGCTGCTGCTGCTGCTGCTGCTGCTGCTGCAGCTGGTTAAGAGGCTCCTTGAACGCGGCACTTTCACTTTACCCCACCGGCTACAATCCAAGCCCCAAGCCCTAAACCCCAAACCCTAAACCCTAAACCCTAAACCCTAAACCCTAGAAACTCACGAGAGCATTAACCTCCGTCCGAATGTCTGTAATTCTGTCGCTGAAGTCACCAAAGTCCCCCCAACTAAAAATACAGATTTCTCCCTCCTCGCATCCGCAGCAAACCTTCGATCCTCCCTGCACAAACCCTAAACCCTAAACCCTAAACCCTAAACCCTAAACCCTAAACCCTAAACCCTGAAATTTTAGGATTCAAAGCTGGCATTTGTTCCTGCGCGAAAAAATCTCCGCTTGTTCAACTTTTTCCATCGCAAAGACGAAACACCACCTCTTACTCAAGGGTTTAGGGTTTAGGGTTTAGGGTTTAGGGTTTAGGGTTTAGGGTTTACTTTGGCTCTAAGAACACTGGTGAAGTCTGCCTCGAGCTCGTCGCTGCGGGCCCGCAGTTTTCCTTTTTTTAAATCAAAAACACTCAGAAAACCACAGCCAGCAGCGAGCAACAAATTTGAAGAATATATCATACCTAAACCACAAACCCTAAACCCTAAACCCTAAACCCTAAACCCTAAACCCTAAACCCTAGATCCTAGGTGGTGAGTGGGAGAGAATAAATCGGAAAGTTTAAGCCCTAAACCCTAAACTATAAACCCTTAATCTATCTCAGCAAAACACACCCATTCAACCCATAAACCCTAAACCCTAAACCCTAAACCCTAAACCCTAAACCCTAAACCCTAAACCCTA